GATCAGTCAAGTTAAATTTGTTTTTAAGTTGGTAAATCTGACATCAGTCATCTTAATAAGAAATAAAAGTATTTCTTACTATAAAAGTATAAAATCTGACATCAGTCATCTTAATAAGAAATGAAAGTATTTCTTACTATAAAAGTATGTGTGCTCAGTAATTGAGGGACACAGTAAGCTAATTAAACTTTCTGAATTGGTAGTTGATGCTGAGCTGAGAACAGTTCTAGGTTCTTTAAAGGGTGTGCTCAGAATTGAAAAGGATCTTGATAAATTTGAGAAATGGGACAGACTGACTTGTTTTGTCGAATCACAAGTTACAGATGCCTGCCCAGCAAGAGCATTGTAAAAGTATTGAATGATTTTTGGGGCTATATCAAGAGAGGCATTTGTCTTAATACCTGGAGAGGAAATTTCTTCTCTTACCTAAATCCTGGTGAAGCCTCAGCTGGCTGTAGCATTTTGAGAGATATAGACAAACTGAATAGCATGGAAATGAAAGCAACAAGAACGACTTGGTCTTGAAGGCAGAAGCAGGGGAAGGAATGAAGAAAACCTCTGGTGCCCCTAAGGCTTGTCTACAGAAAATAGTAGATTATTCTCCTTTGCACTGGCTAAGAGTTAAAAAGACTGTACTGTCTTAAGAAAGGTAAAGTGTTGGAGAAGACAACCTAGGGATGCTGAAACATTCCTTTCTTCCTCTCTGTTCCTGACCTTGCCTTGGGGTGGGATGGGGGGCTGGATGTATCCCTAGAGTCCATGGGTTGGCTGGTAAAGTGTGGGTGCTCTGTGGGAAGCCTCCCTCCGTTTTCTCCACAAAGGCACATCAGAATTATCTCATAATATTCTAGCTTGTAGGTGCTTCCCGTTCCATCTGCGTGTGGCCCGTGGCTTAAACGTGAAGCTGCTGTTGCCTTGTCTGTACAAATCCAGCCTCCATCACACCTTTCCCCTCCTGCCAGCAATTCAGTATTTAGAATCCCTGGATCAACATCTACCTACAAGGAGGTGAGGATCCAGCACAAGGCCAGGGTCTCCAAGATTAGGTGGTAGTCTCTCAAGGTCATGCATTGACCTTGCACTTTGAACCCTGAGCCTTGTATTTCTAAGGGTCTTTGACTTAAGTTATACAGCATAACTATATGATTAACATACAGAAAGAGCTTTAACCCTTTGGGAGCACGTGCAAACCATGCTGTGTGTCTTTTCCTGAAGCATCCTTGGTCAATGTGGTGGTACTACATGTTCTCTGATAGAATTCCAGGCATGGTTCCCACCTGAAGAGAAGCACAAAGGGAATAGAATGAATGCTGTGTTATAAATAATACGTAAAAGTAACTGGTTGGATTTTTTTTCCAAGGTATTTGTACCCAGTGACAGCGCTATCTAAATATTAATAGGCTTTCCTTCTTCCTACTGCCTGTACTGAAAACTTTGATGTGATTTGGGACTGTGGAGTGAGAGGATAAGCCTGAAGAAAGTGCATCCAAATAATGGTTATTGGGAAGACGTGGTGGAAAATTAAAAAAAAACAAAACCAACAAACAAATGAACAAAACCAACAAACCAACCAACCAACCATCTCCCGAAAGCAAACACTCCCCCTGCCCCCCACCCCCCCAACTTCTCAAAGTTGACTTTGAATAGCAATGAAATGTTTAGTGTGGAAACCTGAAGTTTTATTCTAGGAGTGAACCAGCTGTGAAGACTGCTGGAATAATTTTGACACAATTAATAAAAAAAAAATAATAAGGCAATAAATAGAAACCTCTCCAGCTTTCATGTAGTCTCAAAAATTCATTTTGTCTCCTGCAGTCAGTGCTGTGCTGCAGATGCCAGAAAATAGCTGAATTTTTTTTTTCTATGCACGAGGTCAAATCTGATTCTTTTATATAACTGTATTTCTTTACATTCTGATGTCTTAGCATGAACATTGATAAAAATCATACACATGAAGAAATGCACACTCCTTAGTTTATGGGTATGAACTAAGCACTGCCATTGCCTTGCTATTCCCCTCTCCTCAATGCAGATCAGATGATCCTTTATTCAGCCATTAACTGGTTTAAGGCACTTTTTCTTTTTTTTTCCCTGCTAATCCTTTTTTCTTCATTCTTTCTCTGTGTAGAAAATGTACAGCTTTAGTTGGCCTAGGTAGATTAAATTGTACTCCTTATACATTAGCTTTATGTGAGTAATGTAAAGTACACTCGTTGGTGGCGAGGCACGCTGCTGCTGAACTCTGCTTCCACGGAGCTGCTGGGTTAGTACTTACTGTGTATTGTCTTAGTTGCAAGAAGCACTGGGAAGATTTGAAATGCATTGTGGTGGTCAAGGGTTATTTTTATTTTAGGCTTCTTCCAGAGCTAGAGTCTGTAGAAGCGCGGAGCGTCAGATGGGGTTGAAGGGGTAACGTTTCCTTCAGTTCTGAATTCTCTGTTTGTCCTTTGAATTCAAAGAAAGTTTTTTTTGCAATGGCTTGTGGGACTTCAGCTAGAGGATGCTAATTAACTCCAATGAATGTTAGCGAGCCAAATTTCTGTGCTTCAGTTTGCAGAGATTCCTTTTAAAGTAAAAATTTCAGCAGTTTGTCTCTAAACGCTTCGATATGCCAGTGATTGTTCTAGCACTCCTGTATGCCTAGATTACTTGTGTTATTAGTTAATTTGCACAAATGTCTGCTCTTTATACAAACTGATAAGCTGAATTTGCAAGTATCTTGATAATGCCTAAAAGATAATGGAGCTTGACTCAGAACGACTGTCAATAACTAGGACAGATCCTGCAGTAAACTTTGGCTGATGCAGAAACAGTTCCCAAAAGAGGATGCAAGGATGTTCTATGAAGTCTCACCTGAAGAGTAACTCTTATAAAAAATATTGGGCTTATTCTCCATAAGAGAATTAACTAGGACAGATCCTGCAGTAAACTTTGGCTGATGCAGAAACAGTTTCCAAAAGAGGATGCAAGGGTGTTCTATGAAGTCTCACCTGAAGAGTAGCTCTTTATTGTAAAAATCTATACAAATACCTCATGTATTTGAAGTATTAGAGAATTAAAGCCCATTTTCAGTGTGTTCATAACATGCCAGTGAGCCCCGGGAGCACTGCTGCTGGTTGCTGGTACAGGACTGCCTGGCACAGAAGTGAGCGCTTTTATTATACTTAACCCATCAGGTCAAATTTGTGTTCTTTAAGATTATCTCAAAGGCGCTAATCTTTTCCTAGGAGAGCCAGCAGGTTTGGGAGCCAGCCTGGAATCTCTCTGGCACAGACAAAACCTCATGTATTTGAAGTATTAGAGAATTAAAGCCCATTTTCAGTGTGTTCATAACATGCCAGTGAGCCCCGGGAGCACTGCTGCTGGTTGCTGGTACAGGACTGCCTGGCACAGAAGTGAGCGCTTTTATTATACTTAACCCATCAGGTCAAATTTGTGTTCTTTAAGATTATCTCAAAGGCGCTAATCTTTTCCTAGGAGAGCCAGCAGGTTTGGGAGCCAGCCTGGAATCTCTCTGGTACGGACAAAAGCATCAGTCCTTTGTGAGGTCTTTACTTCTTCAGGCTCTTACCTTCACAGTAAACGTGCTGTTCTACTCCCCTGTCACCTCTGCCATCACGTGCTTCTCACCTTTTTATTTAGCATAAAACACTGCGTTCTCTATACACTGTCTGAGATAATATTTCCCTTTACTTTTGATAGAGAACTTTTGGAAGCTGTTGGAATTACAAATCTGAGGTGAGAGCCCATGTTGTTCAGGCCAGAGTCCACGGCACTTCATGTTATTACCCTTTGCACGTGGTTCACGTGACTGCCGTGTTCGTTAATTTACTATGGGCTGGTTAGGGAACCTCACTTCATTAAACATCCTGAAGTTTGAGATGGCACAAACTTAAGAATTACTTCTTCTTTTCATTTATTGTGAATGAAAACTGAATTGCCAGTTCTCTCCTTCCCTTCTAGTCCCATGAGGATATGAACCTGAAATCAGCTTATATAGTAGAGGCCAAAAAAACAGATGTAGCCTAGATATTATGATAACTGAGACTTTGGAAAGGTTAACAAAACAAAACACTCCCTAAACCCAAAGCGGGGTTGTGTGTGCGTTCCTACAGTAGGTAAATACAGGTAACTTTAATATAGCTTAAAATGGCAGTGGGGGGAGAGGGCCAGGAAAGAGATTGTTCTCTTAAGCAGAACCAAAGCACCAAACTGAAAGAAATGAGAAAAAGGGATGTGTGTGGGGGGGGTGGTGTGTGTGAATCCAAGCGTTTATATTTTGTATTTTTGTAACCATTGTGTGTGTGGGGGGTGTGTGTGTGTGTGTGTGAATCCAAGCATTTATATTTTGTATTTTTGTAACCATTTTCTTCTAGTTTCTGGAATTGTATTTAAAATGAGTGGTTTATCCTGGCATCCCTCACAATTTAATTATCCTAGATAAAACACTTGTTTCGAAATATTATTGAGATAACTCAGTTGCTTCCAGTTGTGAGAGAGAGAATGAATTTTAATTCATTGCGGGTGTTGTAAGCAGCTAACTTAAGTTTATTTCACTTAAAATTAGCTACTACTGAGCCTTTTCGCTTTTCACAAAAGAACCTGTTTATTGCTAATGCTTAGTCATTTATTGCTTGATTTGCATGAACATTGTGTAAAGAGAACTTTCTGTGTTTTGCTTTCCAACAGTTATTCCTTGAAATAAAATAGCCAAACAAGTGCAGCCAAATGTTGTAAAATATCTAAATCTTCTTCTTTATAGTGGGCTCTCATTTCCCATAACGTTATCAAATCTTACGGGGTTCTGCTGCATTTACAGCAAGAAAACAGGACAAAGCACAATGTTCTGGAGCTGTCAGAAATCAAGTTGTAAATTCAAGAGATTCAGCTTTGTGCTAAATACCTAACAAAGTTTTGAATTTAGTAAAATATTTAATGCCTAAGGAACTTTATTCGTTTTGGAGTCAGGAAGATCTTACAAATATTGACTATCTTTGCAGGAACACTTAGTCAGTCTGGATGAGCCAGCCTCAGAAGCTGGACAAGAAGCTCTGCTTAGACAAGAGCAAGCAAAAATCATTCGTTTTGAAAGGCAAGCGGAAGAGTTCCTCAATGCAGTCTTTTACAGAAAAGGTTGGTTTTAATGGGGGGGTGGGAAATGGTGTCTCTCGCTGGTCTTTTTGCATGCAATGCAGATATCGAAAGATCTGACGTTCAAGTTGTCATTGTATGTTTGGTATTTTTCACTTTTCTTCTTTATATATACATATTGAGATACATGTATTTATATTTATCAAGAGTAAAAATTGATTCTCAAATAATGTGGCAATACAACAACGTGGGCTTGGGACAGAGGGAGAGGGTATAACATATTGAACCCTAAACCAAATCTGAGAACACTGGTGTGTTGCACTTTGGGAGGAATGACTTGGTTCTTACCCAGCAGAAACCAAAGTTTAGGTGAGTGGGTGCCTGTGGAAGAAGGGGCAAGTGGTAGTAGGTGGGTAATTTTTTAAAATATTTTATTTTAATGGGATGCATACTAATGCAGTTTTTCTCAAAGGTCAGTAGTCTTCTCACTGTGGTCTTTAGTGATTGCCCAACCCACCCCCAGCAATCCACAGTATAAATATTGTTGGAATAGCATTAAGGGGGATATATGGAGAATTCAAAACGTGAGCAGCAAAAGAATTGGAAAATCAGTCCTGTAGAATATCCTGAGAACAATGACAGTAGCTCAATGCTTGAAAATCCTCTAAATCTCTTCTGGAGAGTTATGTCAGTTAAACTGTGCTCTTAGGAAGGCACAAAACTCATTTCACTGTTTTCTACCAATCTGAGAAATGTGAATCCAGAGGTTGCTTCCAAATGCATCCTGAATGAAAGTACATTGTACTTATCAGTCTAACCCATGTGGGAGAAAATCTGCCAAATCAGTAATTCCAACCTGTCTGCTGGGGGACAATGAGAGGCTTCAGTTTAACAAATCAGAAATTGCAGTAGCCAGTCCTCAGCCCTTCCTCCCAGTGACCAAAATATTTAAAGGTGTTTTAAGTAGATAACAGTATCTTAGCCTTTCTTTAATGACTCAAATGAATAAATACAAACTACACATTATGATGTATTGCATAAAGTAGAGACTGTGTAGGATGGTAGGGAGGACAGCTATTGCATTAATACTGATAGTTCAGATAATGCTTTTATTCCAAGTCTTCCTTTTCAGTGTCTTTGTTTGTTTGTTTGTTTCTTTTAAGGTTAATGTTTCCTTTTGCTTTTTAATTTCTCCCATCGCTCTTTAAATCCAGAAGGGTTTTAAGAAAGCAAAAATCTAGAGAAAATAATTTTTTTTTCCCATATTACTTTTCTGGTGAGAGGAAAAAATGCACTATCATCAAGAGGAAAAAATGCACTATCATCACTTCCAAATTGTTTATTAAAGACTTCATCCCTTTAACTCTGGGCTTAAATGTATGCCCTGGGTGCGGATGTTATTAGAAATGTATACTTTCCTAATTGTTGGAAAACTCATGGCAGATATTGCAGTGTGTTAATGAGGGGTTTAACACTGTGTCCATGAATACAGAGTGAAGATAATGACACTTCAGGTGTCTAAGAATCGTTGAGAATTTTTTTTATTTTTTTTTAACATGCTCTTCCTTTCCTTTCTCTGGCAAAGCTGTGCTTGGGGCAGGAGTGATGAGGGAGGGGGAGATGCCGGGCAATTCTGAATCCTTAATGCACCGTTGTCAAGGCTGGCTGTTATTTCGGTTGCTTGAAAGGTTATTCTAACCCACACCACTGCCATAAGATCCCCAGGCACTGTCATACCACAGAGGACACAAAGACTGGCAGAGCTGCACCACTCGGAGATGCTGGGCTCTCCTGGCTTCACGCCAGGGATCAGTTTTGTGTTTTTTCTTTTGTTTTCTTTCCATCCTCGCTGCCAGTAACATTTGAGACTGGGATTTTGTAGCGCAGGCAGATCAGAGAAATTGCAGATGTTCCCGTGAGCAGATGCCTGTTGCGTGTCAAGGACGTGAACTCATGTAATTAAAATACACACATAAGGTAATTAGCAGGATCAGCAAACTTTCTGAACAGGTTTATTGTCCATTAATCTTATGTACTTTCTCTCTGCTTTGTGCCTGTGGCACTGACTCAGTAACACTTCTTTCTCATGTTCATACTTCCCAGTGAAGGCAGAGTAGGTGGTACCTACTTGTCCATTACCTCGTGGCAGGATAGAACCTTCTTTTGATGGTTTAATGAAATCATACCTTTTTTTGTTTGATACTGTCCTTCTAAGATTTCAGGATAGATAAAATACACAATCATACCTTTTTTTGTTTGATACTGTCCTAAGATTTCGGGATAGATAAAATACACAAAAGCCATTAAGGTTTAAAGTTCAGAGGTACTGCTCTGGACTATTTGTAGCTGATAAATATTTGCTGTATTTTTCTCCCCTGAGAATTTCTGTGTTTTAGTTAATTTTAGTTTATTTAAAAAAAAACCCCACACCAACAATCTAGACTCCTGGAGTCAAAAAACAGCTGATTGATTTTGTTTTCTTTCCATCCTCGCTGCCAGTAACATTTGAGACTGGGATTTTGTAGCGCAGGCAGATCAGAGAAATTGCAGATGTTCCCCTGAGCAGATGCCTGTTGCGTGTCAAGGACGTGAACTCATGTAATTAAAATACACACATAAGGTAATTAGCAGGATCAGCAAACTTTCTGAACAGGTTTATTGTCCATTAATCTTATGTACTTTCTCTCTGCTTTGTGCCTGTGGCACTGACTCAGTAACACTTCTTTCTCATGTTCATACTTCCCAGTGAAGGCAGAGTAGGTGGTACCTACTTGTCCATTACCTCGTGGCAGGATAGAACCTTCTTTTGATGGTTTAATGAAATCATACCTTTTTTTGTTTGATACTGTCCTAAGATTTCGGGATAGATAAAATACACAAAAGCCATTAAGGTTTAAAGTTCAGAGGTACTGCTCTGGACTATTTGTAGCTGATAAATATTTGCTGTATTTTTCTCCCCTTAGAATTTCTGTGTTTTAGTTAATTTTAGTTTATTTAAAAAAAAACAACACACCAACAATCTAGACTCCTGGAGTCAAAATAAACAGCTGGTTGATTTCAAGTGATGCTGCAGAGGCACTAGCAAATGTTTTCCACTCGCTTTTGAACAGTTTAAATCCGTAGCATTTGGGCTTCATATTAAACAAAAGGCTTTTAATGTGCTAGGTAACTACCCTTGAAAATTGAGTTTTGTGTCCTGAATTAGTGAGTTTATCTTGAGCAGCACTAGAAAGCTCTCAGTAGTCACTCTGTGCCTATTCTTCGAAGTTGCAGATTCCAGAGATGCATGGCTGTAAGCATATGTAATATTTTCTCCCTGACTTTGGAAATACATTCAGCTGGAAGCATTACTGGATTGTACATACGCACATGGATGTACAGCAAAGGAATGATTCTCCTTCAGAAAACATAAGTGACATAGAGCTCTGAATTCCTGCCAGTCCCACTTGTAGATGCTCCAAGCACACGTCAAATAGTTGGTATCGGTGTTATCGTGCCATCAGTTTGTGCCCATCTGGGTTTTCCTAGAACCTTTTCTATGTCCCTCAGCAGCTTATAGTAGAGTGGTCAGAAAATGAAAGAAAAAGAAATGTCACCATCGTGGAAAAAGCCTTCCACACTTCTTCAGGCTTGTGTCCTTGTGGATCATTTGGGGAAGAAAGTGAGAATGTAGATGTACCTAAATTTAAGTTTGACTCGTCTCTTGGTGGCTTCATCAAACTCTAGTGTCTCATCCTTGGCAGCAAGAAAACATCCTGTAGGTTTTACAAGAAAACGGTTACCTATTGACATCAACATCTTGGAAGCATACAGCTGTTATAGTCCTATAAGAATATACATGGTGTATATATATAATATTTTATATACATAATACATAAGGTCTTAGATTGAGAAGGCTGTGCTTAACAGGAAGGAGTTTGGGCTTGATAAAGCTCGATGTGGGCTTTCACCAGGGAACACAGTAGCTGAAACTGCTGCTCTCTAGTTTCTGAGCAACTCTGCTCAGACCTTCCTGGCAGTCAGCCTTCAGAGATCTGCTGAAGCTAGTTTGTTGGATTGATGCACTTTTGTCCAAAATGGTAGTAAAAGGCAAATCTAATGCTGAAATGTCCCACAGAAGATTTTGCTAATGCTTCTAATAGCTCAATCGCAATAGATTACCTTTCAGCCAGGGCAATTTTTTTTAAAGAGGGAGTAAACATTTTTCTATTGTTCCATTTTGAGAGCTGCTTTTAAAGATTTGTTTGGTTTTCTACTGCACAATTTTCTCTGAATGTTTCTTCAGAAATAGAAAATCAAACCTTTTGAGCCATTTCTGGAGGTGTGTGGTTATAGTGTGGTGTTTTGTGTTGAATTTTGGGTTGGGGGCTTTTTTTGGGTGGGGTTTTTTTTTTGGCCAGAGAGCACAATCAGTGTTTGAGGTGAAGTGGCAGGACTGAGGTTCTGTGATTTAGGAGTTACAGATTTGCTTTCACGTCATAAATTACTACTGGTCTAAAATAATGATGCTTTAATTTTCCTAATATGTTTTTGGGTTGCCCAAATCCCCAAATCTCTTTGTATTTCTACACTGTTTGATTTTTAAATAAACTGGAATGTCTATCTGTTCCATTTCACATTTCTTGCTAATAGATTTAGCAAATCTTTCTAGAATAGAATTACTTTCCATGTGACACATCTTGGTTATGTCTATCTGTTCCATTTCACATTTCTTGCCAATAGATTTAGCAAATCTTTCTAGAATAGTATTACTTTCCATGTGACACATCTTGGGTTTTTTGTATATGTGAAAGTTCTTTGGGTAATCCCTGATGCTGCATTGGTGGCAATGATAGAAATGTCAAAAGGAATAGATAGAACGGGATGAAAGACGCTTGAACGTTTGATCTTTGTGTGAATTATTTTGAAGAATCAGAACGACAGGGCTTTATTTCTCAGTGAGCTTGTAGGGGAATGCTGCAACTTTATTCTCCTTTCTCCCCTTCTGTAGCTGCAGGTAAGTCTCTCGTTTCTTTTGCTGAATAACCTGTTCAGTTCTTTTGGAATGAACTTGGTACTTTCCATCATGGATCTAGCTCTCCTTTCTGTTTCCACACCTCCTAAAGGTCTGGTTGAATATATCTCGATTTGAAAAGAAAAGATGAGATTGCATATTTCTCTTAGGAAACTGTTGTTTTGGGAAGGTTATACCAGAATTAGCAATGGTTCTTGTTCAGGTATTCTAAGACTAAAGTACATTTTCTGCGGAAACTATTTTATCTTTGGCTTTCATTTTTTTTTCCCTAGATTTTCTTTTTATTTAATAAACAATGATTGAATATAAAAGCTGTTTTCCTTAAAGTAAAAAAAAAATCTCTAATATTTACAGACAGTCCTAGGGTCTCTGACCCCAATATTCCCCTAGTGGCCCGTGAGATCATGCAGCGAATGATCCGACAGTTTGCTGCTGAATATACCTCAAAAACTAGCTCTACTCAGGACTCCAGCCAGCCCAATAGCACAAAGAACCAAAGCCTGCTGAAAGCATCTCTGGTCGCCTCCTCTCCCACGGCTGCAACTGCTCAGAACCCTGTGCTCAGCAAACTGCTCATGGCTGACCAAGACTCACCTCTGGACCTTACTGTCAGAAAGTCTCAGTCAGAACCTAGTGAACAAGGTAGGACTCTTCTCAGTGTCTTGCATCCTACGGCAATCCCTTCATGGCATTCTCCTTGCACCATCAGACAATTGGAAATCTGGAAGGCAAACGTAAATTGGGAAAGCGGTAGATGTTTTTACGGTAAACTAATGACTAGCTAGATGTGGCTGGGAGAGAAGAGACTTCTGGAAGGAATGTAGGCCCATAGACATGTGTGATTTTTTTTTCTGAAGAAGGGCAAAGGGGACGGACTTGCTCCAAACTCTGGGGACAGGCGTGCTGTTCCTGCTGGGAGCCGCACGAAACAGTCTGCTGAAATAGACCGTGCGCTCGATGATAAGCCAAGTTCAGCCGGTTGTGAAAACCATAATGTGGTCTCCTTTCTGAGGCTCAGTGCACAGTCTGACTGAAGGACTGGTTTATTTTCTTCCTGGTCATGGTGTGAAAACGGTATCTTTTAAAAGCCTGTGAGAAATGGCTTGGTGAAGGCTGTAGAAATGATACCCATGAACTGTACAAAACTTCCAGTTTTATGTGTTTGGAAGAAATGTCTATTTTCTACCTTAAAAATAGACTTGTTGTGCAGAGCACAGATTGAATGACTTGTAACAGTGTTGCAGAGCTTGTTTTAATTTGAAAACCTTGCTTTCTATCAAAAATGGGTTTTAACAAGCAAATTCTGCGAGTGAGTCTAGTACGTGAATGTTTTTTCTAAAACTGTGGAATAGAGGTTATCACACGTGTATCCTCCTGGTAGGATTAAAATTCGCCCCTTTACCCTTCTTTAGGAACGTGTTAGTGTCTGAAATTATTCTATCAAAGTAGGCTGCCCATCCTCGAGTGGAAAAGGTGCTGTAAAATAAATAAATAAAGCCTTTTTATAGCTAGTACAGAATTGTAGGTAGCGCTTTATTCTTTGAACTTAAAGTTTCTGAAGCCTTTTGTAAAAAGGTGAATTTTCTGTGTCCCAACAATACACAGCTTGGGCATCTGGCCACTTCTTGCTCTTAAAGCTCTTATTGAAAGCAGTTGCCACACTTGGGTTACAGAACGGCAGCGCGAGGTTGTGTGGTGTCTTTCTGAAGGCGAGGACCTGTACATCTAGCTGATAGGCGTTTATTTCTAACTAATTTTGTTATAAATGCATTTCACAGGTGTCTTTTGCATATGTGTTTGTAAATGTTAAACTGTTTCTAATTGTGTAGCTTCTTGCTGAAGGAGAGAATCAGTTTTGGTTCTGCTTGATTTTAATTAGAGGATCGTACGGTGAAGGAGAGAATGTACAGAGCTGTTCTTTAGCTACCGTGTGACCAAAAAGCTGTAAGATTATTTATAATGTTCATAACACTTGTTGTGGAATTACATCTGTTTGCTGATGTAATTACTTTTTTTCCAATTTACATTTCATTGTAATTGGGGAGAGGTTTTGCCAAACTTGTTAATGAGAGATTGAAGAGGCTGTTAGCGGTGCTTTTGGTTATATTTCTGTTCTGGTGGGTTGAGGGGAAGCCAGGTAGTTTGTAAACTTCTCCAGGGGGTCTGAGGCTGGCCTCACCTGCCCTCTGAGACTTCTAGGTCATAGTGACCCTTCTGATGGAGGAAGCTTGGACACAAGTGCCACTGGCACCAGCCTGTGCTGAGTTTAGTGCAGCCCCTTGAAAAGGAGGTGCTGCTTCATCCGGTCTCCGTATCTTGTTATTCAAAAGGAAGATTGAATTGTCTCCTTCCTTAAGTTGGGGTTATGGTGTGTTCCCAAATGCAGTGGGTGGAACAGCTTTCCATAAGTTAATTCTAGTTCCTTGTTTATCGTGGGGTTTTTTTCTCCATATGTCAAATGAGAGCTTGAAGCAATCTGAAAGTCATGGTACATTGTTCTTGTGTTGGGTGGTATTTACTTGATTAGATGGAATGAGTGAAGAGCTTTCAAATGTCTCTAGTTTACCTTGCCAACAAGTTTAATTTATCTTTGCCTCATAAATTCCTTGTTTCAAAGTTTCCAGGAATTTCAGATGGCTGTGCTGCTTCTATGACAATGTTGCCCTTATTAAAATGACCAGAATTTCAAGTTGTTTCAGTGCTGTGGGAGCAGGGCTTTTCTAGCAAAAAGCGCTCCCTTTTCTGTTGCCTAGAAATGCTGAGTTTAGCTGAGGGCTTCCAGAGGAGCACGGGTGAGTGCAAGGAAGTGCCATTAATGAGAATGGAAGAAGCAGTCTAGCAGGAAGAACAATTTGCTGTATGGAAGGAGAGAGGAAGTAAAATGGCACAGTAGAGAGGAGAAGGGCAGCAACTTGGCCAGTAGAGACCCGTTGGAGACATGGAAAACAGGATGAAGTTATAGCTGCCAGGTGAGGAGTTGTCCTGCATTTATTTGTGTATCTTCATTTGAAAGTGAGTTTCCCATATGAAATTCTCAATTTTCCTACAGAGATTTGGATTAGGAAAAAAAAATATTCAAATGCTGGTTTAAAGCCTTCCTTAAAGGGGGAAATATCTCAGGAATTTGAAGATTGTCTTATTTTTGGACCACTGAGGGTTAGTTATGCAATGGGCTGTGTTGTATCCTGAACTGTCATTTGTAGGGCATCTTTTATTCTCTGGCTCTTGTAACAGATGCACTCTAATTTTGACTCCAAATTTTGGTGTGACCAAGGACTACGTTGAAGTCGCTTTTAAGCCAAATTGCAAAAAATCCAAGCCTTAGTTTGTTTAAAAATTTTAAAAAAATAAAATAATAAAAAATGCTGTTAAATGTGTCTTTAGCCCAAAAAACCTGTTTTGTCAAGGGACAACGTGGCTGATCCTGTTTCTTCAAGCACTGAAGTCATTCTTTTGTCCCTACAGACGGTGTGCTTGATTTATCCACTAAGAAGAGTCCTTGTGCCGGCAGCACCTCTCTGAGTCATTCTCCAGGGTGCTCTAGTACTCCGGGAAATGGGTAAGAGAAAACAACTTACTATGTCCTTCTAAAACTGTTGGGTTTTGTTTTCTTTTTTTTACTAAAAAATATGTGCCTACCTCCTGTTAATTTTAACTTCCTTTTGGTGTTAACCCTTTGGAGTAATGTGTTTTTCAACTTGTACCTTTTGGCAAATACCTTCAACCCACCTGCCAAATAAGAGCTGTTGCAAACTCAGACAAGTTTCACTTGCATTTAAGAACTCCAGTATCTGCTATTTTGGCCAATTTAGTCTATAGCCAAAGACCTTTCCATTATTGCTACTTGGGTTTTGTGATGAGTGATGTCTGTGGAGGTTCAGGTTCAGTTCAACGTATGAAGAGTCTTAGAGGCTTTGCAATAGAATTTAACCTTCATTTCACTTAGGGGAAAGTGAGCCAGCAGGAAAGTTTATTTTAGGGGTTGCAATGATTTGGGTGATGAGCCAAGCTGGATTAGGTTTGAATCACTGCATGCTCTTTGTTAATATTTCCTATCATAAACCACAACTTAAAGAAAAGCAGCTGGAGGAGGGAGTCTGGTAGTTCAGAAAACTTTAAATATGGCTTTTTGGATTTGCAATTATAGTGTAGCACTGAAGAAGTTGTTTTGTTTTTTTTTTAAATTGTAAAATCTGTGGCGTCCTACCCTTGCCTTAATTTGTTCAAGGTGTGAAAGAAGGTTGTATCAAAAAATTTCTTTTGGGTTTCATATTTCTAATGGTCACTGTTTGCATACATTTTAAACCCCTTGATTCTTAGGTAGGATTGAGTTAATGGTACTGGAGAGCCTGACCGGGATTAAGAGGGATTTTGGGTGTTGATGGGAGAATTTTATCTTGAGGCTACTGTGAACAAGCAATTTTTTTCAGTGAGGAACAGAAACAGTATATGGTTTAAACTGCTATTGAATTGCTGGATTTAGCTTTACAATAGCCTTTGAAATACTTGAAATTTTAAATTAACAACCCACCACCACCACCAATCCCGCGTACTGCTAACAACCGACTTAACTTCTGCATTTCTCTTTGGAAGACTTATTACTCTCTCCAATTTTTCCCTTGGAGGTTACTTTCTTCATTTAATATTTCTATTCTTCTTTAAAAGTTAGTCTTAATGCTTTTTCACAATTCTTTAGCATCAACCTTCCCCCACCAGCTCTTCTTTTTCAGTTCTGGACAGGTTATTTCCAGCTTTGTTTTCCTAGGGAGGCAGCAGAAGCCACGGGGGCTGTGTATTGTTTGTTCCCTTGTTTGTGTATCAAGTGAGGGCCAAAGTCCAACACACAGGGGTGAGGGAGCTGGCATCTGGCACTGTCTCGATGGTGAAGAGAGGATGTGGCATGCTGGCACCCGTGGTTCCTGGTACAGGTGTGTGGTACATGAGGGTGAGGGCAGCCTGTTTAGCATCAGTGAAATCAATCAGGTGTGACCCTCTGTCCGAGTAGCTGCCAGCACCACCATCACTTGGGCACAGGATCACTGGCGTGCAGTCTGGTGCTGGTAGGTGCTGTGAAGGGGCTGAGAAGGCACGTTGCTCAGGAGAGTTCTCTGGAAAAGTGAACTTCCATTCATTCCTCTGGATTTGGTTCTGAATCCTCGTTGACTCTTGTCGCCCACTTGAGCTCTGACCTCTTGCATCCTGGAGAGAAGCTAGCAGTGAATGTGTTGAGCCCTGTCTATGTTACATGCCAGGTCCTTTCAGTGGCTGTCTTTTCTCTAAAGATTTTCTAATTTATTTTTAAATCTCAGTGTGATGCTAAAAAAAATAATGTAGCTTTTCAGCAGTACATATGCTGTCCTTAAATAACGATGACTTAGCTTAGAGGGCTTTACACCAGCATTATGTCCCAGAGCATTAAAACAGAATTGGTTACTAGTCTCTGCATTAATCTGTATGTTGAACATGAAAAAGTTTGGGGGTGGATTTTGAAACTAGTGTGACTTAATTACTACAGGGGGCTAAGCAAGGAAAATGTTAGAATACAGATGTTTATCTGCAGTAGTAGTTCTTTCTGTCATAGCAAGAACACTTGTGACAAAAGAAGAATGGTAAAAACACATACAGCTTTTTGTGCTATTAACCCTTCATCTGGATGACAGTTGGAATTTAGATCTTTTTTTTTTTTCCCTAATCACACTATGTATTGAATGAGAATCAGGGGCATGTATACATGCAATTAGTTGTTAAGGGAGCGATTTGGTAAGTCTGGTGTCATGCAGTGCTTTCCTATTTGGTGCTTAATGAAAGTCAAGCAGATACTTTTGAGGCCCGCTAAGCATTTCATTTATTTATTTATTTTCACCCTGAGCAGCAATTCTTCGATCTGATGTAAGTGACCATCATCCAAGGTTTCCACCTATGTGTAGATACTGCAGGTGGCAGTTCATATTTGCATGTTGAATATGTTGCACTTTGGCTTACTCTTTTATTACTGTACTTGTTTAGTGGTAACGTCACACCAGTAACACAGTTGTGTGTAGATCTATGGCGATTGATTACTACTTTGTAATTAAGGTGCTATTTTCAGACGCTTGCGCGAAGTCTTTTCTACTCCGAGAATTTGTGAACCCAACCAGAGACCAGCCTACAGGTTTCATTTTTCTTTGCCCAAAAAGCTTCTCTTTTTTTGCGAACAAGTTTTAAAACTGACTGATGCTGAGACTTTAAAAAAAAAAAAAAAATTAAAAAAAAAAAACCAAACCCAAAACAAATTTAGAGAAAAATAAATAACACAAAAAGTGATGTTACCCAAGCAAGGCCTTCTAATAAAGGAGTGGCCCCCTCACCCATCCCTCCCTACCTGTGCAAGTCCTGCTCACATCAGTTTCCTTCCATCCAATTAGGCGACCTGGGAGACCCAGCCAGCACCATCCGGAGGGACTACAGAGTGGTGATGGGGTACCTCCAAGAAGCTTGCAGGATGGAACCAGGGAAGGTTATGGCCACTCCACATCTCTTAAAGTACCGCTGGCTCGATCACTCCAGATTAGTGAAGAACTGCTGAGCAGAAACCAGTTTTCTACGGCTGCCAGCCATGGGCCATCTGGACTACAGAATCATGGACAGCACTTAATATTATCCAGGGAGGCTTCTTGGGCAAAACCACACTACGAATTCAATTTCAGCCGCATGAAATTCAGGGGAAATGGTGCACTCAGCAACATCAGTGACCTTCCTTTTCTTACAGAAAACTCTGCCTTTCAAAAAATGGCACTTCAAACTAAACAGGATGGGAAAAAGGACGTGAGCCATTCGTCTCCTGTGGATTTAAAGATACCACAAGTTCGAGGCATGGACCTTTCATGGGAGTCCCGCACTGGTGACCAGTACAGCTATAGCTCTTTGGTAATGGGTTCACAAACGGAGAGCGCGCTTAGCAAAAAGTTAAGGGCTATCCTTCCAAAACAGAACAGGAGAAGTTTGCTGGATGCTGGACCAGATTCCTGGGGCTCAGATGCTGAGCAGTCTACCTCTGGACAGCCATATCCCACCTCAGATCAAGAGGGAGATCCTGGCTCCAAGCAACCTAGGAAGAAAAGAGGGAGATACAGACAGTACAACAGCGAGATACTGGAGGAAGCAATCTCTGTGGTTATGAGCGGGAAAATGAGTGTTTCCAAAGCTCAGAGTATTTATGGGATCCCCCACAGTACACTGGAGTACAAAGTTAAAGAGAGGCTGGGCACTTTGAAAAACCCTCCAAAGAAAAAAATGAAATTAATGAGGTCGGAGGGGCAGGATGTTTCAGTAAAGATTGAATTAGATCCCCAGGGAGAAGCAGCACAAAGTGCGAATGAATTGAAAGATGAGTAGGGATGTTGTAGAGTGCCAATTACTTTGCAAACTGGGTGAGCACTACTGCATAGTTCAACCACCACCGAGCACACCTCATTCTCCTTTTGACTGCAATGCTCTTTCCTTTGCAGTTTAGCATAGACTTGTGTGGACACAGGTGAAAGGTGTGCTCTGAATGTCACATTTGTAAATTTTTCCCGCCTGCTATGGCGCAGTTTCCCTCTTTCACCTGCCCACTACCCCCTTTTTTCTTTTTTTTTTTTTTTTCTTTTGCCTTTTGCATGTTTCTCTGTAATAGAGAGTTGAGTTACCTCACAAAGAATGCAGATCTGTTGGAAGTGGACATCTCGCCTGTAGAGCCTGCCTCAACTTCTGGTGTTTGAATTTTTCATGTCTGCCTTTATAGAAATAAGTCCACTTTGTTAAACTCTCTTGAAACCAGGCTTTTTTTGAGTAAGAATCAGACTGTCATTCTGCAAAACGTTTCAGAAATCCTTTTTCCCCTCCTTTTCTTTGATCCAGTTGATTGAAAGATTTAAGCTAAATCAAGTTACTTAGGAATGGTACCTCTCTTGAACTCAGAGATTTGTTGAATAGATGGATAATCAATTGGGTCTAATTAGGCTCTCCACTACTTTCTTTCTAAATTAAACATGCTTACCATTCACTGTCTGCTTAGTGCTCACCCGGAGGGGAGGGGAGGGAAAACTTACATACACTACCTTCAGAATATGTCAGTTAATTATTTGTAACACTACCTTCGCTGTAATTTTATTTGATATTTTTGAAGGGTGATATTTAGACTCACCTGCTTGAGGATGTAGCCTTATCTCACGGAAGACAAGCTTCTCGCAGTCAGGAGCAGTCAGGGTACACTAAATGATGTATTAGGGTATGCCTCATTAGAACAGAACTAGGGTTCTTTGTGACCTTTATCCTTTTTACAGACTTGATTCTGAGTTTACTAAACTATGTGGTTCCAACAACCAGTTGAAACGGCTCTAATCCGGGGAAGGGGGATTTGTGTAACAAACTACTGTGATATTCCAAAAAAAAAGGAAAAAAAAAAAAAAAAAAAGCCCACAAAACAATGATCTCAAACGTTACAACCTCAGTAGTCTGCCCAAATGTCCACATTAGTGAAGGAGCTTGTTAATGTTCAGGGAAGAAGTAAAACACTGGTAGCCTGATCTAATTCGGGCT